AACCTCTTTCTTGGGCCAGAACAAGTCCTGGCTCTGCATCCTGTTCCTGCTATGCTTTGCTCCCTTCCAGCGAGGGCAAACAGCTGTGATTGCCACAAAGATCTGGTGGATGTGTCATTTGAACTCCTAATACATTTTCAGCTGCCAAGGAAGAGCTTCTCAGCACCCCCCGCTGCCTCAGACTGTTCATATTACTAATGAGTAATTGGCACTTTTTACTAGAACTTAAATCTGATGTTGCTTTCTATAAGGAATGAGATTTTAAGTCCAGTATTTTACTATATAATGTATTAAGCTGCAGAGTGCTTATTTCTTTGATTAATTTTTGTTTTCTAGAGAGGTTTGCTGAGAGCAAGACTTTAATCACAGTATAGTCATTTAACAATAAGTTATAGAATTATAGTCGAATAATATTCATTCAATGAGAACTGAAAAGACTAAATCCATCATTTAGATCTGGTGCTTCCGAATGCTTTTATCACTAAAATTTGCTAAATATTAATCTGATTTTTTCCCTCCACATTGCAGGTGCTCGAAAGATTATTTCAGAAGGGATTTAACGTGGCAGCTTCCTGTGGTGGTGGGGTGGATTCCTCCCAGTTCAGCGAATACGTGCTGTGTCGTGAAGACAGACGACCACAACCCACCCCAACAATCAGAATAAAACAGGAGCCCCTGGACTAGACCCTCCCCGTGCCCCCTTTGTAACCGTAGAAGTGTTTAATAGTCCCTTATGTGAAACACTAAGGATTTGCAAAACAGTATTAGCAAAGAGATTTGGACTTTACGTTGCCCATTAGTGGTATTCTGAAACTACCTGTCACATAGCCAGCCATGGAACGCGTTTGGAAACCGGTTGTCTGTCGTTCACGGTGGAGTTCCTGAGCACACCCAGCGTGGCAGGGCTGGGATGGACTCTGGGCTGACCAGCAGTGGTGTGGAACAGGCAAAGCTTTGGAAACTCTGGCCCTGGACTGGACTTCTGCAGCAAGAGCCATGGAAGCAGTGGAACCGACCAGCAGGAGCCCAGGGACACCCCAGAGCTGCGCTGTGGGGACGGGGCCGTCTGCGGGAGGAAGAACCCCAAAAACTGCACTGAGAACCTTCCCTGACCTGCCCCGCCTCCGTATCAGATGTGCTTCACACCCCAGCATCACAGTCACCTGGTGATAGCACTCACCCACATGAGCAAATGGCTTATTTTTATACTACATTTCCAGCTGAGGTCTCTCTCTGTGAACAGGATCCAGAACCAGAAAAGGACTGATTCACAGTCACTGGTGCTCAGTACTTAAACCCCCCCCAAACCAAACCAAACAAGTGACAAGAAATTAGACAGGCCCATTTATGGCAATATATGCAACAATAGGGATCTGGAAGCACAAAATAAAATGCCATCCACCATCACACCCCATGAGGAGCTGTAGCTCTTTTAAGGCCAACCTTATTTTGACACAACAGCTGTTAAGTTTTGCATCATCAAAGAAGCGTCATTCTACCAAACAAGCCACCCCCTGTTAATCATTTACTAACCATGTTAGAAGCCCACATTTAGCAGGAAAAGTTTAAAGAATTTTGGACAAGCCCATTCTTTATGGGTCTGGAATTCTTGCAAAGAGTTGTTAAAACCCTGTATTGCCATTGCCAGATGAAAGCAGGCCGCCTTCAGTTTAAGTTGCTTTATTATTTTAAATTATTATTAAAATTTGTATTCTGTAGCTGCCCTCTATCTGGGTAACTTTCTCTGTAACAAAGTCAGGGGTCTGTCTGCAGGAGGGTCCTGCTTCTGCCAGGACTTGGCACTGACTCACAGGGCTTTTTAACTCAGGAGACAGCACCATGTTTGCAGGTGCAAGACTATAAATAGCATTCTGCTAAATCCTGTTTATTGCTCTTAAGCATGATTGGGTCCTCAATCACTAATCCATGTGTTAATCACAATTTAGTTTCTCCCACATTAATTTATAGAATACTGTTGCAGATGATGAATTTTAATTAAACTCTTTTTAGATGCATAAATATAGCCAATGGAACAAGGGACAGAGTATTAAGTGGTCAACAGTTCTTAATGCAAATTGATTGCAATCAGGCAAAATTTAAGTCACGTTTAAGACTAGTATTTTCAAAAGCAATGAGCTGTACTGACTATCCAAGGTAAAATCCAGGCAGGGGTCTAATTTTTGGAAAAGGGCTGGATACCTGTCCATGGAAAATCAGACCTCTGCAGGTTTTCTCACCTTGGTCACCCAACTCAGAAATCTCTAATGGCAATCCTGGCCGGTTGGTCTGCTACCTTAGCAGAACAGTTGAGCAAATCTGTCTACTTTAAGAGTTGTAAAGTTATTTTATTTTGTGGTTTTATACTTGTACGACATTCTAAAGTTGCTAGGCATTGCCATATTTGAATATATGGCACAACATTCACCTTTGTATGTAAGATATCTGTAGAATTGTATATTATACATTTAATATTGTAAAGAACTTAACGTATAATTGTCATGTATTTGTGTATGCACATTTCTTATACAGTACTTCATGCCATAAACATTTCTGTAAAGTAAATGAACAAAAACAAGCACGTAGGGTGGAACACTCACTGTATCTCCCATGTTGTTTGAAAGAGGTGAGAATTTTTGATTGCGTCTTCTCCAGCCCTTTGCTCCATTCAGCTTGATGTAGCCACGTCTTACAAAAAGAAGTGTTTTATTTATTACTTTCATACCTTTAAGTCCAAAGTATCCCTCAATAGTCTATTCAGGTTCTTGTTTTTATCCTGTATCCACTCCTGCCCTGCCCTCTGGCACGGGGTGAGCTGAGCACTCCTGGCAGCACACCCTGTCCAGTTCTTACCTCTCAGCCAGGGAATAAAGGTGATATTCTGATATTCCATCCCAGGGGCCTGCTCCTGCCCCTGGTGCTCTCCCCAGGCAGCTCTGGGGAGCGCAGACTGGGATGGTGCTTTTACACATCTGTGGAACGTTGGAAGTATTTGTGGTTGGTTGGTTGCTTGGTTGGTTTTTCCTCAGTTTGGTGTTTACTGTATTTTTTTATGGCTCAATAAAGCAGCTCCCGTAGTTGGGGCAGCTTTGCTGAGGTGGCATTGGAAAGGGTTCCAGGCTGCGCCAGCCGAGTTAAATGTGAACTTGAGATGGAAAGTTTAAACCATGACATTACAGCATTGACTGCAAAACAGCACAAAGGCTAGGAAGACATGTGGAAACAATCACTTTCTTAGAAGAAATATGCCTTTAAAGAAAGAAAAAGTTAAGCTAGGACGTGTTCTTTTAGTTAGTAACTTCAGGTCACTTATTTAAAGATTATTACAGTTTCATTTATATATTTTTTACTTATTTCCCTGTATTTTTAGGCACCAATATCAACAAAACACTGATTTGAATATCTACTTCTGGCCTTAAACCACAGCAACATAACTTAATGAAGAACATTGCTCAGCATCACCGAGATGTTTTAAAGTGAAGCTGTGGTGTGCAGCCAGCCCACGTTTGCGTGGCCAAGGCCAAGAAGCAAAGCACAGCCTGGTGTTTCCCTGATGCCACTGAGCAGAACTGTTCTGAGTCGCTGTTGCTGAGCACTGGCCCCGTGCTGGACCAGCACGAGCCTCCACGAGCACTTTGTGTCCAGGCTGTCCCAGCTCAGTGGCAGCAGAGAGTGAGGGAATGTTCTGTTGTGCTTGCTGGGCTCCTGGCTCAGAGAGCCACTGCTGAGTGCATCCATTCTCTCTACTGATGGCACCGAGGTTTGTTGACAATTTTATTAGATGTTTCACAAAGGATAAGAATCAGCACAACAAAACATTGAAGTTTTTGGTTTTAATATTTGTTTGTGGGTATTCTGTTAATATTTTAATGCAAAATGTTTCTGACCAGTGCTTAAGAACTACAAGACAATGTGAAATTCATGTTTGATAAATTAATACTGTATGTCACTCGATGTGTTACTTTAGTAAATTGTTTTATTTCTTTACAAAATAAGTACAAATAAGGGAGTATGTTTTCACACAAATTGGGGGTATTTACCAGTATGTACAGAAATCATCAAAATAACGTAACTCTAATAAACACAAGGCCTTTATAAACAATATGTACAAATTATCAATACATTTAAAACATAACTTTACACGTCCTGGCCTTAAATACCTTATGAATAATCTTTTGGCTAAATAGCAGCAGTATAAATTTTCTTCTGCTTTTCATAAACCTTAAAAAATAATTAAAACCTTTGTTTTTAAAACTATTGGACAAATAGTTCTATTTGTGCTTTCGCTATGGTTTCCCATCAAAAAAAATATTGCCTCAAAAAAGTGGCAAGCATAACATAGTAAAAATGGAGAAGATAAATAAGCAAATGCCTCCCTTGTGGTACTGTAACACTGCTGACTGCAGCACAGCTCGTGCACCCTGCCTGTTCGTGCCCCACTCGATCCCCATTTCTCAGACTCACACCAGCCTCGCTCGGCTTCGTGTGGGCCCAAATTCTGCTTCAGCAAAGCATGTAAAAGGCATTCACCCCACCTTTAGGTACTTACAGCTGCTCCTCATGCTTAAAGCCACGTGCCTGCTCAGGAGCCTCTCTGGCTGGAGCCGTGGTCCAGCACCCAAGGCAGAGGTGTCCTCGCTCCAGGTGCCACTGGGCTCACTGCTCTCCCCACTCCAGGAGTGGAAGCGGCCCCCAAAAACCTTTACAGCAACTTTAAAAATCCATATAGAATACTCTCAAATCTTTACCCAACAATATTCTCTTTTAAAACCACATTAAACCATACTATTTGCAATAAATAAATTAACATTTACTTTTAGAAAATAAAACCCAACTTTGAATCTCCTTACTAACCAGCTGCTACAAATGCGCAAAAGGTTGATGAGATTTAGAAAACAACTGGAAGCAAGTCAAGGTAACTCAGCTGAGAGCCTGCACACACATTTCATACACTTAAGATTTGGTTCAGCAAATGGCTCGGGAAATGAGCTGTGCAGTAAAAGCAAAAATCCTAAATATAAAATTTGTGGGAGTGTGCAGTGGCTAGTCTCTTGGCTGTGCAAAAAATTGCCATTACAACTAAGTTAAATAGCAACTGGTATCGCCATGGTTAGTGAGACAGTGCTAGGAAACTGAAAACAAAACAAGTCCAGCATGAGGAGGAACACTCAGGTGAACACCAAGGCTGGGACCCACTCCTGTGAACCTGTCCCACGCCTGGCCAGGAGATGGTTTAGTGAGCCATTGCATTTGTGTAACTTCAACACCAGCTGCTTCAGCCTTACCTAAAATGGCCAGATGGAGCAAGAGTTTGATGTTGATTTTATTTGCGGAGTTAACATTTTAAAACCTTTTGCACATTTTTTGTGGTGTATATATATATATATATATATATATATATATATATATATATCTCTAAAGGGAATTTATTGCATGTGTCTGACAATTTTACAAAACAAAATTACTGGAACATTGACTTCTGAAAAAAATAGAAGGCACATTAAAATGACAGCTTTCAAAGCAAGTTGAGCTTCTGTGGAGCAATCAGTAGGACTGTTGGCTTTATTTAAGCAGAGCTCGGTAGAGCAGGAGGGAACGGCTCATTTGTCGCTCGTGTTCCATGTAGAAGATGAAGTCCCTGAGGTTGACTCGTGTGATTTTCTGCCGGGGGTACTGCCGGGGCGAGGCCGTGCCCAGCCCGGCCGGGCTGCCCCCGCACACCCCCACGCCCTGCAAGAGAGCACAGCACAGCTGAGTCCTGCAGCAGCCAGGCTGCAGCACCCTGCCGGGCAGCTTCAGGGCCACCACGGCTCCTTCTCAGCACAGAAATTACAGCACGGGTCTACTGCTGCTTTTCTGTTCTTCTGAGTCTCAGCGAGTTGTCCTGAGTAAGGCCTCGAGTGCAAACACGTGAGGCTAAACCTTGCTCGCTTACAACTCGGGACAAATCCATCCTGCTACATTCACTGGAGACGTATTTGACCAGTTTAAATTGAGGGACAAAACGATTTTCAGCAGATAAAGTCGTTAATATATGAAATGTGTGCATGATCCTGCTGCTCATCATGGACTGGGAGCAGTGAGTGGAATATGGGAGTCCCCACAGGGACCCCAGTTCTCTCCTCTGTGTCTGCTGAAGAGGAGGGCTCCGTGCAGGGAGATACTCAGCAAACAATCAAAAAATTAAATGGAAAAATCACAAAGACTCAGACACTGTGTGATCATAAACACAAACATTAGCATACTTGTTTTGAAAGCTATGTTAAATAATTATATTTTTTTAACTGGTTCATTGATACTGAATTACTGAATACCTCATCCTGGCTTTGTATATAGAGAGAAAATTCTTATACTGGGACAGAGAACACTGTGATCTGAATATTTAGAAAAGGAAAGGACATAATTACAGCCTCTGCAGTCTCATGGAGTTTAAACTGAAACCTGATGCATACACATGTTGTTTTTTCATCCATAGCAGTCAATTGTTTTTGTTAATTCCAATTGGTTTGTAGCAAAATAAGTGTTCTAACTTAGAAAAATAGGTTTTAACCTCTGAAAAGATTTAAGCTATTTTTCAAACCTCTTAAGACATGTGGTAAAATTTTCTATACTTTTAATATCTCATATTTACTTACTGCTGCTCAAACCTACCTTTCTTTCCCCAGGAGATACTTATTCTAGGATCTTGACCCCAGACATTAAGAATGGAGTTAAGGGTAATTTTACTACTGAAAAGTTGTAGGGAAAACACAAATGGTCTGCTGAGAGCAAGGCATGGCACTGTTCCCCTCTGTCCACCACAGTCAGTCTGACTCCTTGCAGAACTTTGTGTTATTTCTCCCATTCCTGCTGATTCAATTACAGCAGTGAGCAAATCCTGCTCTGTGCCCACAAACCCCAAGGAGTGCAGTGAATGTGGCTCAGCTCGCAGGGAAGAGAGGGAGAAGCCCACAACCTCTGGGCACCTGGGGCGTTTGAGCCAAGGGATTCTGCTCTCCAGCATGGAGCAGTTTTGTTAATTAATTGATGAGCCCTGAACCTCACTGCTCACAGGAAATGCAGCTGCAAGGGCTGCTCATCCACGCTGCAGCCGGACACGTGCCCAGTGCACAATCCATGGATTCAGCAGTGCTTCGAGTTCAGACCTTACCCCAAGAAACACTTTGCATTCCTAAAAGCAACCAAATCATTTAAACTCTTCCTCTCTGTCTTCTACAAGTTGGAACACCTTGAGCTGCCTCTCACTGCACTCTGCCAGGGCTGTGCCCACTGTTTCTAAGTCCTTAAGAAACCACTGTGTGTGTATTTATTTTAAATCAAACTGACTCAAAAAATACTTCTCCTTCTTCTCTGTTCCCCCCATGCTGCATCTCTTCCCTGCCCACAGCAGTAATTTCAGATTCATCCTGACCACAGGACCTGTGAGAAATACATTTGAAAGGAATGTGGCCACCTAAAACTCATTGGAAACCACGTCCATAGCACTCCAGAGCATCCCACACACACTTACCAAAGAGAGAAAAGCTGCATTATTTAAAAAAAAAAATCTCTATACAAAACTATTTCTTTAATCAGTTGAGTTACATTTACAGCAAGGAACTGCTCTCTACTTAGACACAGCAGCTGGAATTAAGATGTGTCAAGTCATATTCACTGCATTTATCACTAGAGATACTGAACTTCAACATAGGAAGAGCATCATATCCTTAACCAGCAGCAGAACACGGCACCAAGCTGTGCACATTTGTAACCACACTCGTGAGCCCATCAGTTACCTGATCATGGTCTGGAGTTGTTTTACAAGGTGAAAAATAATCATAAAAATCATTCTAGAAATACAGAAGAACATATGTAAGCTGACACATTTATATGTGTCAATATGATCACTAATTTAAATGAAAACCCAGTTCGTTTGGTACTGCATTCTACTCAAAATTATTCTCCAGATGCTATATAAAAAAGTAGACTCCTAAATGCCATCATTAATTTCATACATGAATTCAAGTATAGTTAAAAAAAAAAGGCCAAGAATAGTGAAATTGAAGCAATTCAAAATTTTCTCATGAAAAATCACATTTTTTATCAGCATGACAGATTTTTCATCAACCCAAACAAGCGCCGTGTTGTCTGTATCTATGGCAACTAATAAGTTACACAGATAAAAGCTCTAATAAAAGGTTGTAAATTGTTTACCTCCTTTATTTCCTGGCTTGCCACATGCAAGCTATTCCCAAATCCCATACACTCAATATACATCAATGCTAGCTTTTGTATCAGTGAACTTCTCCCTCTCTCTCTCCCTCTCCCTCTCCCTCTCCCTCTCCCTCTCCCTCTCCCTCTCCCTCTCCTCTGATTCTGAAGCTATTCTTCAAAGCTATTCCAAATTTATGTCAGAATTGTCACACAAGATTTGGGCTTTCTCAGCCTGTTTGCTATTTTCATGATTTTCTGCTATGAGAAACCTCATGCTGTTTGCAAAGGGAAATACAAACAGTTCAGAACAAAATACTGGCCAAAGATTTGATAGATCAGTAGCTAAATATACAAGGTCCTGCCACAGGAACAAACCTGTGTGTGACTGCAGCAAGCCCTGTGCACAGCGAGGCCAGCAAAGCCCCATCTGTGTCACTGAGCACAGTCGAGCAGCTCCTCTGCAGTGTGTGCATCACCTCTCCTCTCCCCAGGAGCCACCGAGGTGCCCTGCTCTCAGACCTCCACCCCTCCCAAACCGTCCCGAGCCGCTCCACGGTGGGCTCCTGTCCCCCTCAGGTGGCACAGGTGGGTCCCCCGGAGCTGCAGGAGCTGCTCAGCCCCCAGGGCTGCGTGGCCCCGAGCCAGGCACACCCAGAGCCCACGGTGGGTGCAGCCCAGGCAGCCCCTGCTGCGCCCAGCAGATCCCACAGGAGCTGCAGAGACTGAAAACCTTAAGCTCCCTCCTACCTCTGTCCTCCTGCTGGGCCCCCACACCCAATTTGATCCCTAAAGATCCCCCAAAGGTTTAAAGGCTGCTGGGAAAGGGGACTGAGGCAGACAGACACATCTCTTCCAAAATTATCTCATCCCAAACTGGGCAAACTCGCCCACTGCTCACAAAGTAGCAGTTGTCTTCGTGCATTAAATGACAATGGCTACAGCAGCAGGTGGATGGAAACCAAAGTGTGTAAATCCCAAAAATGGGCTGTTCCTTGCTCGAGATAAGTGTTTTCACAGAAGAAAGCAAATGTAATGCAATGTACACTTCTTTTATAACAATGATTTCTACTGTTGAACAATTAATTTTTGTTTTCCTTCACAAACCCACATCCCCTCAACTTTGTATTACAGAACCATGGAAATACAGTACAATATTCCTGTCAGGGAACAGAAAGATAAGGGCAAGGAGAAGATTGCATTTAATATTTTATCCATCCTTCCTTCACCAGAAAACAATTCAGTGCTGACATCTCTGCTTTGAACAGAGTCTTGATCTGCGGCTATTGCTTCTCTGAGAGCCAGAGACAAGGCAATAATGATAAAAGATCCGCTGGGTTTCTTCCCAGGCTGCATGGCACATCCTTGTGGCAGACTTCACTTCAAGCCAAAGTGGGAATCACACAACAACAATTCAAAGCCAAGCTATGGAGTAAAGTACACCAGGAATTCTGTCTCTGCAAACTGCATGCACTGCAGAGGATAGGGAACATAAGGTGTCTATTAGTCTGCTCTTGTGAATAAGAGGTCTTGAATCACAAGAAACATTCTGGAGATATTACAAAGCAATTATATTTTTACTTGCACAAAATGCTATTAGATCTTTGGCTGAGAGGCACATGAAAAACAGGTATAATACTATGTGTGACTAGCTGTCCCACATAAATTAGGGTTTAATTCAACACCTACTGAGGCTAATGGTAATGATTTCACTGAAACATCCTAAAATTAAGATGCCTTTAAAGTACAGAAATGTAATAAATGTTCATCAGCACCTCAAAGATTAACAATACCGTATGAAATATAATTATATCTACGAAAATACAGTGCATCTTCATGTGTGCAACACGGTGGCTCTACAAGTGTCTTTAGAAAGATTCATCACCAAAAGCTGTCATTTAGGCCTTCAGATGAGCAGCAGTACAGGGAGGATCAGTCCCATGCTTTCTTCAGAAGCTGGTTATTTTCATTTGCCAACATTTTTAGCCTGTACTATTTTATTGCAACTGTTCCTCTAGACTGTTTTGGCACCCGTTCACTTGCTACACCCTCCTGGATGCAAATGCATCTCCTTTCCCCTGGGCACATAAACACACACCTCGCCCTGCAGACAAACATCAGAAAAACTGATTTGCACAAGTACTTACAAGTACTTCAAATACCAGCACAATTGCAACATTTCAAAGACAGCATGCAGTAATTTTTAAATTAAGAAATAATAAGGGGAAGGTAAAGCAAACTAAGGCATGGATACCGTGAAATTTTTTTCTTCAGATGTGATCATTTCAGTTTCTAATTATCTGAAGTTATTTGAACCCAAATAAATGGGCTGCCATTACAAGCAGAAGATTTTAGATGTACCTCATCCTTGTCTTTATTACATTACACCAAGTCACATATGCAAGGATTATTATAATAAAAAACCTGCTTGGTGAAGCAGCATCAAACCAAAATCTTCCAGTTAAGGGAACTGGGCATCTATTCCAACCTCACCACTTACTGCTCCCTCTAAGACAGCATTTCCCCTCCCAGCTGAAGGA